ATTATAGGTTGGGAAAATGGAAAAATGTGAATAGCATTGTCGCGCGTTTGACTTGAAAGTAGGAACAATCGGACGAGTGGGAATGCCATCATTAATAGCTTACTCCAGAAGTGGGCGGCGCAGTTAGAGAATGGGGAGTAGCGATACTATATCATTTTTTTTTTTTTATTGGGACACCTTTAGAACGAGTTAACAAGGCAGCAGGTGAGAACCGTAAGTAATTGAAAATACTTCAATCGCAAAGCAGCCTACAATCGATTACGACAAGCTTCGCGATCGATCCGCATTGATAGATCCGCTGGCTCGCTCGATCGGCAGAAAAGCACTTTATGATGAATCTTAGTTAGTTAAACAAAAAAAAAAAAAAAAAAAAAAAAAAAACAGTTTGTCGCAACCTATCATTAAAGGGCCTAGGGCACATAGGTCACAATGTCTTGGCCAATGCTAGCGCAGACGAGAGCGTCTTTGCTTTATGCTTCTAACTTTTACGAACTGTACGCTCTGTTAAGTATATTTTCGTGGCATGAGTTCTAAAAAACGGTGTAACAACATAATTCCATACTTAATCAATTGAATACTAGTAATATGGCGGCGGGCAGAAAGCGATCGGTGACTGCACCGTAAAACAAGTGCCACCATAAGCACAACGTGAGTTCTTCGGTGCGATAACTCTACAGTATGCCGCATGCAACGTACATATATGCGAAGTAAAAACGCATTGTATTTTTCACTTTTACGCCGTTGCAACAAATAAGTTGAACAAGCAAAACATAAATCGTTTACAAGATTATATGAAGGCAATTTAATTTATTTGCCAAAAAAATGAAGAAAGAAAGAAAAAAAACAAAACAACGCATCGAACAACTGGAGTTAACATGTGTATCGAAAATGTATGCAAAATAAGTTCATGAATTTACATGAACAACAAATGATCGGTACAGACTTTTTGCATTTACTACTTTGCTTTCTTTTATAGTTTGCTTTATACGTTTTTTTTTTTTCTTTTTTTTCTTATACCCAAAAGAGATACTGATATACTTGACTTGAAATCGATTTATGGTATGTTCCCCGGTAAGATGAGCAAAATAACATGAAATTCAGTCTAAATAAAGTAAAGGATGAAAGATTATGTAAAAAAAAAACAACAAAAAACAAAAAAGTGTTTATATGGTGTATGGACGAGAGAGACATAAGTAAAACGTTTAACAATTGTATCATGTATTTTGTCAATTGACTTAAAACCACCAACACCACCAACGAAACATACAAGCGAAACGATCAACATCAACAGTCGAACGCCAAGCGATGCGTTGCCCTTAAGAAAACAAAAAAAAAAAAAAAAAAAAGAAGAAAAGTGCAACAATAATAACAGCAGCAACAGTCAGAATAAATATAACAAAAACAACAACAAGAACAACGATGACAACATCATCTTAAGAGATGTGTAGTGGTGGTGGTTGGCATTAAAACATCGAAAAACTGTTGTAAAATCATTCAAAGCCGCCGAATCAAACAGATTTCTGTTATTTTCTTTTTCTCCCTCCTATTTAAAATGTGTTTTTTTTTTTTTTTTTTATTTTATTTTTTATTTACCTTTAGTTTAGTTGCTAATCGATATTTTACTTTTTTTTTTTTTCTTTTTTTTCATTTTTTGCGTTACTTTTCTCTTCTGTGTCGCTGCTTGTAATAATACTGTGTGCCAAGTTAGGTATGCATTTGCACATACAAACATATTACGACTGATGTCGATGAGCCGATATGTCCATACAGAGAACATGAGCATCCGTTTGGCGTAAATACTTACGCGCATACAGTCTATTAACTTTAAATATATGCTGATGTTTGGCTTCCTGTGTCCCCGTACGAAATATTGGAAAACTCTTAAAGATTCGATTTTAACAACCAACTTTGGTCACTTGGTGATTTTAATCACAACACAGCGCAAAAATTAAACTTCTGGCATCTTGCTTAAACAAACACACAAACCACCAAGCATCATATGGATTATAAGAAATAAAAAAAAAAAAAAAAAGAAAACAAAAAAAAAAAAAAAAATGCAAAAAGAAGTCGCTATTGCGAGGGCAGATAAAACACAATGACACTTTTGTTCAATTTATTGCTGTTTTTTTTTTTTTTTTCGTTCATGTAAAGCATTCCCTATCTCTGTCTTGCTTACGATATTTACTATAGGCTGGGAAACTTGTGTACATTATATTAAAAGACATAAACCCGGTTATTAATGTGACAAATTTTCTCTCTCCCTCTTTCTCTTTCGATTCGCCTTTTGTCTTCTTGACTACAAAAAAAAAAAAAAAAAAAACAAAACAAAAAAGAAGAAAAGTGTATTCATATATTTATTTATTTATTTTTTTTTATTATTTTTTTTTTTTTTGCTTTACATATATACATATATATATATATATATATATATATATATATATATATATTTCCTAACACAACTTTATATGGTTAGCTTATAGTTACCCTTGTTAACGTGTTTATTTATTTGTTCATAAAATTACTGAAAGACCATAATCATGTCTGATGTCCCACTTAAAGTTTTTATATACAGTATTATGCATTTAATTACGTCGCTTATTTTCGCTCAAGCTTTCCTTTAATTGGGCAAAAGGATTATGCCTACCTACAACATATTTAAAAAAAATATATTTAGGCAGAAATTAGCCACTTCACAGCTTAAATCACTGATACAAGTCAATTTAATTCAGTATTGGTCGGTGCGCTTAAGAGATTTTAAATAATAAATATTTTATTTGTATACTTTTTTTTTTATTTGTTTATTTTTTTTTTTTTTTTTTGGCAAAAAGCCTGTTTTACTTTCATCCAAATATATCAGTTGATAGAGTTCACTCTCATACAAAAGTTTACGAGCCCGTAACTATCCATATCTAATGAAGAGAATCAAATCTCGTTTTAACGAACACAATTTCAAAGTAGTTCATCATGCTGCTGCGTTATCTTGCTAATAGGCACTACATTGTCACGACTTATTTAGAAAATCTATCACATATCGATCGCAGATCTGCCAGTCGCCGGGATCCAACTATAACTGATGAGCTCAGATCATAACGAGCCCGTTCGCGTCCAGGCACAATATTTTCTTTTTTCATTGAGCTTCAGAAATCTCCAGCCAGCACGGACACCTTATGAAGCGCATTTGCAGATTAAGTTGAGTTAAGTTTCTTCCAACACTGCTTATTATTGCATTTTGTAGTGTCATGCCATGACCAACAATGATCAGTAAATAGTGTCTCTTGATTAAAAGGTAGATTTTTAAAAATTTAAAATTTAAAATACTTTAACCTAACTGAGACACACTTTCTTCCATCATTCCATCCGCTCTTTAGAACATGGCGGATTGCAAAGTCGGGAAGTTTGTTGCTCAGATTTAACGTTTGTTGTCTAGGCAAGGTGGTTGCTCTTTTTTCTCAATTTTTTTAAATCTCGGCAATTTCATGGCAAATTTTCTGTTGGGCTTTAGTGAAAACTCCAACAGCTTTGTCCAGCTTTTTGTTATTTTTTTTACCGGCCGTTTAGAGCATATGCCATATATCTGTGAGCATAATGGTGGTCAGGTGCGATTTTATAGGGAGAGAGAGAGAGAGAGAGAGAGAGAGAGAGAGAGAAAGAGAAAGACAAGGTAAAGTGGATGTAGTGCCTTGAAAAATTCGAATTATCTCGATGACGATGGTAGAGATTATTCTTCGTAGATTGTTTCATAGGCAGGTCATTGCGATTAGAGAATGACGAGAATGTCGTGATAGCGCATTGTACGGTATGCGAGCAACTACAAGACGAGCATATACGAATGCTCAATACGTCGATTAGTTGCTTTTTCTTTTATACGAGCAGTGATTAACAGTACTTCGCTAGCATTGTATCGCACTTAACCATGACATTATAAGCAAATGCTTTCTATATATTTACCTAACCTTTCTTTCGAGTCATTCCATAATTCAAATTTAAGTAAGAAATCTTTCTTATGAAGGGTTTTCCTCTTTCTTTTCCAATTTTCTTTTCTTTTCAATTTTTTTTTTATTTTTTTTTTTATCGTAAACCTCTTAAGGAAATAGTACTGTATGAATACGAATTTAATGGAATAATCTGTTGTCGCGCGTTGCTGTTTTAGTCAAAATATGTCACGTATTGTTGAAGTTTTAAAAGCATCATAAAATCATAGATTTAACATTTTAAGCTTGAAAAAATTCCTTACGTCACCCTAATTAAATTTCTCTTTAGATCAAAGTCATCCCAATGTGCTTAAAACTCATTGTAATAACAATATAGGCTAAGAGCAGTTAGATGCAGGAGATCTTCCTTCACATCTCATTTATATGCTAAGCAAACTTTCACTCCCAGCTACAATGCATGCATGCATGCATGCATGCATGCATGGCGTTTAGAACAAAGTTCACATATATATATGAGTACAAAAAGAAGGAAAGGAAGAATGATTTCATACTCATATCGAGGTCACAAATTTTGACCTATAACGAATTCATTGATTATTTCAATTTCATTATTGAAATTTAAAAAACAACAACAAAGATCGATCTATTATTGAACTATGCATACTGGACATATTCAAATCAAAAAATTAATTTTAGTTGGTCTTGTGCTATGATTATTAGTACAATACTTTTTACAGAACCAACAACAATAAAACTACAGATCTTTTGTAATATGTTTGCGAAGCTTTTGCTTAATATTTCAACATAAATCATAAGCAAGCGTTTACTTCTGCAACTTTTTTAAAATGAAGTGTAGTAAAACGTAGGGAAATTATTATTCAAAAATATCAATAAAAAAATATTTTTTCAATAAATAAAGAAAAAAAAAAAATTATATTAATTCTAAAGTGAAGTCTTTCAATTTAACTTATTATTAATATTTAATATGTGTATAGAGAAATTGGAGTAATATATAAAAAGTCATTGTCTTCCATTGCTAATCCTAACTTAAAAGTTTAATTGCAGGCACAAAAAATTACTATTACATAACTACAATGCTTTGTACATTCAGTTCGTGTTTAGCGAGGTAGAAATTTGTTGTTTTTGTTATTTTTTTCTTTTGTTTTTTTTTTTTTTTGTTCTCTTTAAATATTCATTAAAAATTAATAATACTTTTTTCACTCAATGTTTGGTTGTTTTGTGATGTGCATGCATATGTATATATATACATGTATATATGTGTAAGTATGTATGCATGAGTAAATTATGAAAAGACTAGATTATCAAAAGCATTCCATTAACAGTCCATCGGGATTTACTCATCCTGCCACAGAGATATATAATCCAGAAGTTCTTCATCGTCAACTGTATTAATATTGCTGTTGTTGTTATTGTTATTGTTGTTGTTGTTGCAATCATCATATAACTGTTCAGATTTGACAGGTGTTGAGTTTAACGAAGAGTTAAAAGATTGATGCTGATCGTTAATGCCTCGTTGCCGATCATAAGTATCTGTCGAATATGTGGATGACGTAGTTGAATTGGACGGTGAGATTAGCTGTTGATGTTGATGCTGCTGCTCTTGTTCTTGCTCTTGCTGAAAACTTCCAATATAACTGATGGTATAACATGTAGATGGTTCACTTGATGTTTGCTGATAATAATTATTAGTTTGTAAAGCTGAATGCAATGGTGAATTACCAACATATGACGAGGAGGCATATATGGAAATACCATATGAGCTGACACTGGAAGCATCACTATTGTCCACCTCATCAATCAAATTTTTAAGGCGTCGTATGTATTCAGCAGCCATGCGTAAAGTATCAACTTTACTAAGTTTCTTATTGGCGCCGGGTCCGATACCGCGTCTACCGTTACTAACTTCGGCTATAATGGCATTCGGTATGTGTTGACGTAAATTGGAGAAACCGTTATTAACTTGCTTAACGCGATTACGTTCGCGTGCATTACGCCGTATCACAGCTGGATTATTCGAATCCAATGTAGTGCCTGATGAGCAATATATTGTTGATTTGCTATATGGTGCCGACAATGTAGTTCTTTGGCAAGCATTACGCGTTCTTAAAACTTGATGCTGATGATGTTGTTGTTTATGCTGCAATTGACGATGACGTTGAACGGATTGTTGTTGATACGACAAATTTTCTGTACCTAAAGCCATAACGTGCGCTTAGAGAAAGATGTTTTTTTGATTTTAATCTTTACTCCTAGAACGTCTAAATGCTAATGTTGCCCTTCTCTGCACCAGTCAGCTATTTAAACTGTTTCAATTGAGTTAAGGAATTGAGATACACTCTCATCCTACGAGCTACCTGGCAAGATGCTCAGCTTAACATTTTCCAAGACTTGCCGGTGAATGAATTAAATAAATAGTTACGCACATATCCAGCTACTCTCGATCAAAAATAAAAGAATTAAAAACAACATAATATTCATTTTATCAGGTTTTACCAAAAACTATACGCTCTCTCTTTAACTCTCTTTCTCCGTCTCTCTCTCTCTCTCTCACTCTCACTCTTTTTCTCTTCTTTTACTCTTTTTAAACAACTTGTAGGCTTAATACAATCGATTACAAAACTCTCTGACATTTTTTGGAAGAGCATTTGTCTTTGAGGGTTTGTTGATTCATGCTAAAATGGTAAGGTTTGGGAATGTGGGAACAGTTTCCTGCAAACGTTTTATCCTCTTGCTCTTAAAACATTTTTCAATCTTGGCTACATGTGTTAACACTCAGCTATGCCACGTAGCCGGTTTTTCTTTCTTTTTTTTTTTTTTTTTTTTTCTTGCCTGCAGAGATGAAGCAATTTTGTCTTCATTTTCTCTGAGCATTATTTCCCATATACCTGATCATCGAAAGAGCTCAATTTAAAGGCAAGATTTGTGCCTGTTTGCAAAATTGTCTCAAATTTATTTCTCCACATTGATATCGTTAATAATGTGAAAGCCGGTTAGAAGACCTCTCGCACTTAGATATAATCGCACTTTACTTTCAGATAATAGTCTTCAAAATGACTTTAACGTACAACTAAGCACTTCATACAATTCTTTCTACTTAAGCTTTGATTTCGTATTAATTGTATGCTAGTTCTGTCCGAAAATATGATTTATATAGACTATAACATAAAAATGTTGTACTACTTTTCTTTTTTAAACAGTAAGTTAATAATTAATTTTGTTTACCTCAACAGTTGGGAAAGAACTTTGAACAATTAATCAAATAAATGTTTTGTTCGAAAATCTTAACCAATTTCATGGTAGTGGTAGTTGCTACTTAACTGCGGATGAGAAATATATATACGTTGTGATCCGTCCATATGTCCGTGTCGGGTTTCCTCACAAAGTCTTATCAATGTGTGCGTATAGCGTTTGCTCAATTGATTTCATTACAATCTCTAATCTCATATTATAAATGCTAAAGCTTTCCGCTTTCTACAGAGATTGGCACAGTTAATTGGTGAAGACGACTTTTCCCGGATTCAGTTCTCAGTCAGCCGCCTTTCAAAGGCGTTCTGCAATTTGCTTAGATCTTAACTGTAAAATAGATTCATATATCATTCTCTTGTTTTATTTTTTCTTTTTTATTCAATATTTATAATTATTTTGTGAATGAAAAAATGCTTACGAGATGGTTAAAGAGAAGAGAAGAAATATCAAGTTGTAAAACGTATTTTTCAAAAAAAAAATTCCTTTTAAATAAAATCCATTATACTAATTCTGGGCTCCGCGTTCAACATGTGCCATTAAGGAGCTAAATTCTTTTCAGTAACTTCTTCTATACACATTAAGTTCATTTATAATTACATGATTTTTAAATCGTTACCTTACAGTTAGCCTTCACAGTTTTGAATCATAGCACTAACCACCGTTAATTTGAAAATATATGCATTTAAATTTTTTTATAAATGTAGAAAAACTAAAAAAAAAAAAGAAACAAAATCAAAAAAAATAAAAATAAAAATAAAAAAAATGAAAGGGTTACAGACACCAATAAACTTTTCAACTAGAATATCAATTAATAACCATAAACAAAAAGGACCTTAATACACGCCTTATAACTGCATAATTGTATCGCTAACATATGGCTTCTACTAGAAAGCAAGAATTCTTATAAAAATTATTAATGCGCACCCATAAAACTCTGATTTCAAATTATAGAGCGCTTTCCCCACTTTATGCGTTACGTTCATACACAGCGCTTCACATCACCTTTAACTACAGCGTAATAATTAAGTGTTGAAACATGCCTATATGGTCACACCTTTGCTCACATCAACACACACAATGACCAGTGAATGAATAGCTATAATAAATGTTTAAATATATTCTTAAAGAAAAAAAAAAAGTTTTATATTCTCTACATATATATATATATATATATATATATATATATAAATTTATTATCGTCTATGTATATATACTATTTATATAGACCATACATAAGAACATACTAACATAACTAATGTTGCGGTAGAAATTGTCATCACTTCAAACCTAGCATAACCGGATGAATTACAAGCATCTTTGTTTCGACATTGTTTGCATTTACGTTGACTTGGTGCTGCAAAATGCGGACGTAATTGCAATTGACAGCCATTTA